TATTTTAGAACAAAGTATATCAGATTGTTTAAAAGAAATATTATATTTACTTTTAGATTCATTACATGTATAACACGCTTCTTCTTCTTGTTTAATAACAGCGGAAATTCTTGGCTCATTCACTTTGAAAATTTTTGCCAGATCTTTTTGAATTATTTTCAGTCTCAGAAAACCATCCAAAACATTGATATTGTAGTATGGGTTGATAACACTTATAAACACTTTTGCGGATTCCAAACTTTCCATATTTTTATTGAACACCTTAATATTTTTATAAGCAATATAAATTTGTAACCGTTTATATTGACTGTAGCAAAATTCTTTTTGTTTTAACAGAAACAGCACAAACAAATAACACAATGAATCTGATACATCCAAAGAATTTGCCGAATCGTCGAAAGCCATCGCAGGTGCAGGTTTGGTCTTTTTGTTTTCTGGTATTGTCCAGGTAAGTGTATTTGTACTGCATTTTTCCATTAATAATTGATTTTCAGTTCACCTTTAATCTATTTTGACAATGTTTTAGAATAAAGTAAATTTATAGTTAATTTTGAAATACTTGCAATATAAAGAAAAAAATGACAAATTGAAACATAATCTAAAATCATAATTTCTAAAAACTATAAAATGATTTCTTTAGACCATTTGTCGGAAATTTACACCTTTTAGCGGGTGACTATATATATAAATTTAATATGTGATCTTTAAAAACACTGATGATGAAAGTTAAATAAAATGCTTTTCATTTTCAAATCGTAATGAAATATTTCTTGTATGAACAAGATTTTATCAACTCAATATTAACGTGTAAAAAATTTGAAATGGTACTTGACCGATTTCGATACAACCCAATTCCCGTAAAATCCACTAAACTGTTTCCATATATGGAGACTCAACACCTTTACACAAAATTTGATGATATTTTCGCAGGAATATCCCGACTTGTCGTCTTGTACAAAGTGACTTACTCCGAAACAAAAACTTTATTTCCGGACTTTGATGTAGAATTTAAAAATGTGACTATATCTTCATCTGATATCAAAAAACAAAATATCACAACATTTGATCAAATACCCAAAACCATAAAAATATATGAATATAAATTTTTAAACACTTTTGATTTTAAAGAGTTTAGTGTCCCAACACATATAACTGAATTGTACCATTCTTGCTTTTACAATAATACCACACTTACTTCAGTGACACTGTGTGACGGGTTAAAAATCATACCTTCGTCTTGTTTTGATTCTTGCAAGAATTTGGTTTCTATAAATGTTCCAACCACAATTATATCAATTGAAAGTTCTGCTTTTGAAAAGTGTGGTATTATCAAATTATCAATTCCTGATACCGTCGTTTCGCTCGATTTAAATCTGTTTAAGTCATGCGCTAATTTAGAGGAACTTGTTATATCCAAGAACGTTACTGTTTTGCCATATTACATGTGCGAAAAATGCACCAAATTAACACGCGTTGTACTCCCAGACAATTTGATTCCAATTAAAACACAAGCTTTTTGTGATTGCAGTCAACTTGTTGATATTACCATCCCAAACACTTTACTTCGAGTTGAGTTTGGCACTTTTTCGAACTGTGAAAAACTTCAGGAACTTTTATTTAATGAAATATGTGAAATAGAAGAAGGAGTGTTTAGTGGTTGCACTAGTTTAACATGTTTGGTTGTTCCAAAAATCAATGGAATTATTAAAAACACAATTTCTTTAAATGAAGTTGATGTGTATGAACGGTTGAATGAAACATTTGAGTGTACTTTGGATGACGATTTTGGCTCAGAAGGAGAGTTAAAAAGTGACCGAAAGTATACAACACTCGATAGGTCATACGACTGCAATTTTGAATGTACAGACTCGGTGTTTTTTATACCCGATAATTTCACAAAAATAGAAAATATGCCATTTAATGAAAATCACGATATCCACGTGATATATATGTCTCAGAGCGTTTTCGATATCAAACGTGTTTTACTTAACAAATTTGATAATTTGGAAGAAATTTATATGTCTTCTCACATCGAAAAATTTAATAAGTCAATATTTGAAATTTGTGTCAATTTAAAACATATATTTAACATGTAAAACGTCACTAAAATACGCCAATTTTGTTTCAAAAATTGTTCATCTTTGAAAAGTCTTCACATCAACAAACGTGCAAAAATTTCGTTCGGCTGCTTTGAAGGATGTGTTGGATTAACTTCTCTTGAAATTCCAAACAACAACAAAGTCACCTTTAAAGTAACAAATGAAGACGAAAAAGTCTTAACACCATTTGGTTATACTTTTGGTGATCACGTCTGCTATTTCAATTCAAACGACACGTTTTTAAAATTTGATGAAATTAAAAATAAAAATTATTTCTATGAATTACAAGGAAAATTTTCAAGTGAAGAACTTGACACTATTGTAATTCCAAATAATGTCACAAAAATATCAACTGGCTTTTTTGGTATAAAAACATTAAAAAGTATTGATTTGGGATGCGTGAAAGAACTTGAAGATGAGTGTTTTGAGTGTAGTGTAAATTCTTTAACCATTCCAACAACTCTGACGATAATTGGGACAAAATTATTCCAAAGTATAATAAAACCAACTTCAATTGATTTTTGTGAAAATAAATATTACACGGGAATTGTCACAAAACAAGAACAAAATTTCATTGAAAAATGTGGAGTTCAATGCACCAATTTAGAATTTGAGTTAAACAATTTTGAATATTACAAATACATTCCAATGGGTTACAAAGTGATTGGGTCAGACCGATATCAATTACCATTATATCTTACACAAATAATTATACCAAATGGGGTCTCACAAATCAATTCACATTGTTTTTCTAATCTTCCAAATTTAAAGAAAGTCGAGTTTCCAGAGACACTTCGCAATATCAATTATGGCGCTTTTGCCTTTTGTTATTCTCTTGAAAACGTCACATTTTCACAAGCACTTCAATCAATCAGAAAATTTGCGTTTTATTATTGCATCAATTTTTCACAAATTGTTCTTCCAATAAGTTTGGTTGACATTGGCAGTTCCGCATTTTCAAATTGTGAAAACGTAAAGAGCATTGATGTTCCAGCTTTTGTTTATTCAGTAAGTGGTGTGTTTGATTCATGTTATTCACTCACTTCAATTAACATCAAAAACACTTGTGAAAATATTTCCACGTGTACAACTTATAACGGACCTTTTACAAATTGCAATTTAGAAGAAATTATCATTCTTGAGAGTGTTACTGAAATTAAAAATTCGAGTTTTGAAAATATGAAAAATTTAAAACGTATTATTATTCCAAACAATGTGATTTCAATTGGAACACACGCGTTTTCAAATTGTTTTCATTTATCCACAATCAAACTTGGTAATACAGTTGAAAGCATAGGAGGGTACTGTTTTAAGAATTGTGTAAGTTTGATAAACATCGAAATTCCAGAGTCTGTCGTAAAAATTGGTAATGGCGCATTCAAAAATTGTGAAAATTTAATTGCAGTGACATTTGGACGACAAATACCAAAATGCGAAATTGATATATTCGACAAGTGCAAAATGTTAAAGGAATTTTACGTTAATGGGAAAAAGGTAACTAATGTGAGTTTACCCGTCACATACAAAATAGCTCACAATTTGACAGAAAACGGAGTTTGTTGTGATACTATTTTCTTCACTCGAAAAGACGTCAAAAAACACATAGCAATCGTTTTTGAAAATGGCAAAAAAGTTGGAAAAATTCCAAACAATGTTGTTGGACTATGTGATAATTGTTTCAGAAAATATAAAGAGGTGCAAACAATTTTCGTTCCCAAAAGCGTTAAAAGTGTTGGGCGATTTTGTTTTTATAATTCGGTCGGAAAAGAGAATGTAATTTTTGAAGATAAAAATGCTGTCATAACAACTAAAGACGAATTTTTGTTTTGAAAGATAAAAAAATTATTTGGTTTATGTTGTTTTTTTTATAAATTAATCTTGTTAGTGTTAATTTCTAACTTGTTTTTATTGTATAACACTTATTATTTGTGCAAATAATAGTAAAATCAATTGGTTTTAGTAATTAAAATATTATTATAAATATGACTAAAATGTAAATAAAAATTAAATTTTTTTATATAATAATTAATTATTATATTAAACTAATGGATGATTGAATGAATAAAAACAGTGAACAATATCACTATTTTATTGTTAATTATTTTTAATGAATATTTTTTTTAAAAAAAATAGTAAATAAACTCAACCCACCTATTATATAATATCGAATTAAAATTGAAATACCAAAAGATTTTGTAACATACAGGGATTATGCTTGTTATGACTAAAAAACGTTAAAAATATTGTTACAAATTATTCAAATTATACATGTGGTATCATTTTAAAGGTTATAAAAAAACACAACACGACAAATTTGCAATGAATAAAAACAATTTGATATAAGTTTACAAAATTTAAATATTGTTTTAAATTGTGTTTAAGTAACCATAACACTATTTTAAATATCAAATATTGAAACATAATTGTAATACAAGTGTTAAGAATAAATCACTTACTTATTAGAACAACAGAGCTAATAAGAAGAACGCCAAAATTGATACAATTTTATAAGCTCTATTGCACTTTTCATCAACTAAATTAAACCTTCAATGCATTTTTGCATTAC